TGCACACCTGGGCCAGCCTGGGCCTCTGTTTTATTTAGGGGAGGAGCTTCACACCAAGCTGGGAGGGACTAAGACAAGGTACAGCTAACATCAGTAATTTTCCAGACATTCAGGTAACTTTACATCGAACTTCACTGGTTCGAATCCCAGGCCTGCAACTTGGTTTCTCAGGTTCAATTAACATATCTATAGTCCCTGAGCTCAGTTGGGGCAAGGTGAAAGGGAAGGACAAAAGGTTTGGGCGGAGTCCTGCTGTTTCGGCTTCCTGAGCCAGGTTTTCATGAAGAACTTGGCTGAATAGCCCCTGGGACAGATTTAGGGAAGATGGCTTTTTTGTCTGTAGAACAAAGAACAGTGAAGTAGCTAAACTATTTTCAATTAATCCTTTGGAGAAAGGCTTGACCTTTGAAACCTTTACAGTCTGGGCATTTAGGAAAATATCACATTTATCTGTGGACATTAAGGGCTCATGTTTGGAATTAATAAATATAACTGAACACTAAGATGAAAAACAATTTGCCATTAACTGCCAAGTGGCTAGATCTGTTCCTCAGAGCCTGCGACCTGTAACACTCGGGCCTATAGGGCCTCGAACTTCTGACCAGGCTTACACGGTCTGCAACAATAAAAGAGCAGAATACACACACAAACACACACACACAAGAAGAAGAGACCCTTTGAGCAACTGCCTACAAGTTCAGGAACATCAGAGAAAGAAACAAAGAAGAACCTTCCCGCAGACCCAACACTCCAAATTTGAACTTCTAGTCTCCTGAACTGGAAGGAAAAAAAAAAAAAATCTCTGTCCTTTGAAATCACACACTTGTGATCGCTGTGTTACTGTATCCGAGGAAACTCAATGCTCAGATGTGAATTTCAGACAACTCATAAATTTGATCATTAGTATGAGTATGCACAAGTATTTGTTATTTATCTATTATGTTTCAGTATTCAAAGTTACAAGGGCAACCCAGATGAGATACTGCAAATCAGATACATTATCTAGACAGGAAGCTTTCCAAGTTCAGATCTTACAGACAGAGGGTTGGTAATGGTGATTGTGTGTTCTGGAGTTGATTCCCACTCATAGCGACCCTATACAGGATTTCCAAGGATGTAAATATTTACGGGAGCAGAAAGCTTCATTTTTCTCCCATAGAGCAGCTGGTAGATTCAAACTGCTGACAGTGCCACTGGCTACCTAACTCGTAACCCACTATGCTACTGGGATCCTTGGATGGTGGGTTAGGTAACATAATTTTCCTTAGTGAAAAACAGTACCATTGTTTCTTTGAAATATCTTTGCTAACAAACATTCATTAAATATGAAACTGTTAAATATTGATGAGGAACAGGTTCCATAAACACGTGCAGATTACAGAAGAAAGAGGCACAAGCCAATTCAGAATAAATTCATCACTAATTCTTGCTATGTAGTGGTTACGAATCGGGCTGCAAACCACAAGGTCAGCAGTTTGAAACTACCAGCTGTTCC